ACAAGCGTAATATTTATTTGGATTATGGGAACACCGTTAAGGTCGATAGGACAAATATTTGACCACCTAGTTTTGTTATGAACCTCCATCCCCTGTTGTGCATATCTGCTTTTTTAATATTGGCAGTAAAGTGAAAGGTACAAGGTTTATTTGTTGTTGGATTCTTGTTAATGTCACTTTCTTTTCCTAGGAGCCTTGGTAAAGCATAAACTGTGTCCTGACTCATCATAAATCCACAGCTTATTTATTTATTTTTTTAAAATATGCTCTGTTTTTTTAATCTACCTGAGATGCTAAAGGTGACCAAAACATTTGGAAAACTTGTAACTTTTAAGGGTAATCAGTTTTTTTTTTTTTGACAATTACTTATGTTCAGGTTTGCTGTGATTTCTTTCCTACCCTTCCTAAACGGGAGAGGAACCTATTAACATCGGCTTTATTTCCCCATGTTAAGTATCCTCACACCTTCTATAGGTCATCTCGATTATCACTTCAAAGGTTTTTTTCTCCTGCTGATGATAGCTCATCTCAATTGATTGGCCTCTTACAGTTGGTATGGCTACTTCCACCTTTTCGTGTTCTCTGTATGTATAAATATCTTCTGTCTGTGTTTTCCATTCTATGCATCCGATGAAGTGGGCTGTAGCCCACGAAAGCTTATGCTCAAATAAATTTGTTAGTCTCTAAGGTGCCACAAGTACTCCTGTTCTTCTTAATTCTGGATTCAGGCATTCTCTCTTTCAAGTTTTTACTTCTATGGTATGCCACCAGTTGAGGCATCCTCCTTCACAAACAGAATTGATATGCAAATCTGGATATTCAATTTTAAATGCTAGAAGAGAAGGAAGGAACTGAAGGTCATGTTCCATCAGTTATGTTTCAGCCTCTTCCTGTTCTGGATGGAAGCTATGGTGTTTTATATTTGCAGTCAGTCATATTGGGTAGAAATGCAAAAGATTCATATCTTCTCTGAATTGCTTGATTTTTGTTTTGTTCTTTTGTGGTCCTGGTTTGGTGGTGTTCATTTGATATAATGGGTGTTGAAGGCAAACACGTATTGCTTCTGAATGGAGCTGATGTTGAAGAGCTGCTGGAAAGGCTTGGAACAAAGACTTTCATCTTATCATTCTGGCTATGTTTCTGTGATGACGATAATGTAAACCAGATCCTGTTTGCAGGGTCATGGAAGATTTGTCTTTTCCACTTTGACAGACAAAAGTTTCTCTCAGTGACGCATTTGATCTTGCAGAAAATTGGTTTCTTCACACTTAAGAACGTGACTTTTTCCTGTCTTCCTGCTTAACTCCCGACAGTGTTTACAATTTACTGCAATAGAATAATGCTATTGTTGCGTCAGTTGATCTGTTACTTCAGACCATTCAAATGCTTGTTTCCTACCACTTCATCTGTAGGCAGCTTTAGTCAAAACTTCATACACTGACATTTGGTAATCACTAATTTTTAGTTTGCTGTATTGGTCAGCAGCTTCCACATTTAATACAGTGAGAATAAGAAACTACTTAATGAAGTCAATGCTGAGGACTAAAAAAGATGAAGAAACCAGTGGCATGCCCAACCATTTCAGACATTTCTAGGTTAGCAACATCCTGAACAGTTCATAATTCCACCATTTTTCTCTTGTGATCATTGATCCCACCCACTAGCCATGTCCTTCTTTTCAGTCTCTCTAGCCATTTCCCTTCACCTCTAGGCTCTTGGGTAGTTTTATAACTGTAATGTTCCCTAAGGCACCACAAGCCTTGGTCTCATCACTTCCCTTCTAATTTCAATATAACATTTGTATTCAGACTAAGATTGGAAAAAAGATTGGAGCCTGATGTTTGTTTAACATTTGAAAGGGATTTGTTATGTTCGTATAAATATTTCCAGATGACAAAAGTTCTCATATTTTTAACACAATTTTGAAAGAGGATTCTCTCCCCCCCCCCCCCCAGGTGAAGGGAACACAAATGGATTTTCCACAGCCCTTTTTTTACCCCTTTAACACTTAAATATGGGACTTGTCCTTCTGTAGCACTTTCTACCCTTTGATCTCAAGGCACTCTACAGACTTCGTTTTCTTAAGCCTCACAACTATCCCCTGAGGTAGGCAAGTGTGCAATGCGGTTCCAGTTTTTACAGATAGGGAACAGGCAAGGGGTAAAGTGACTTGCCCAAATTCACATGGTGCATCTGTTTAAAAAAAACAAAAAAACAAAAAAAACCCAACCTGAAGCCCTGAGAGCTTGGCTCTTGGAAATGCAGTGAACATTCAGACAGATCAGAAAGGACCTTTATTTTTAGAAACAAATAAATAAAGAAATAAAAATTGCTGTTTTGCTCGTAAATCAGTCTTAAAAATATACGGTCATTTCCTTCCTCCGTCTTTAACCGGAAGTTCCTCCCGCCTTAATAGAACAGTGACGTACAGTGTCAGTTTCAGGAACTCCAGAAATGCAAATATCATGGTTTAAACAGGAAAAAATTACAGGCACCATAAAGCCAACAACTCCTTGAGCAGCCACATATACACAGGTCTAGACAAAAAGCAAACACCACCTTCGAGATTTCTTCTAAACCACTTAAATTACCCTCAAACCGAGGATTAGGTTTTACGAAACAAATGAAGCAACATCAACACCATATCACTGAGTGCTATAGGCTTTAGATCTCAAGAGACAGGAGAAGCTATGTATTTTAAAAAAAACTAAATCAGATTAAAAACTATTGTTCCCCAAACCTTTAGGCAATTGAAACATTTAAGAGCCTTATGCAGCAATAGGTGGTCTAGTCACCAGAAAGGAGGTAGGGATAGGATGTTTTTTTACTAAAACGTAGGGCTGGAAACACCAGGTCTTTCCAGACACACCGGGAACTCATCACTTTGTGGGAAAATTCTTTGAATAGGTTTTATTTTTTAAATATCCATACAAGTTTGACAGGGAACATAGGTAAGAACCTAACTTGCTGTGATATTATGTGATATATTTGGTATGAACCAAACTCAGGTTGGGGGTGCAAAAGAGACTAATGCAACCTAGCGGTGTATTTTGGTGAAATGTTTGGGGAGAACTGCAGGTACTGTTTAAAAATGCTTTGGAGTATTAGGCTTTAATCTCTTTGAAATCAGATCACTTGAATTATTGCACAAATGCATAGCAAAAAATGTTTCCGACTATTAACAATGACAGTTGTTAGCCTATATCTTTTTGTTGTGTGGGGAGTGATTTTTCTCACAAAATGGCTTTAAAAATCCCCCGAAGCTAGTCTAGTAGTAGAATAGATAATTCATATTTCACGCCCAGTAGATCTAGTATATGTTTCTTCATTGATTTGTGGCTGTGTGCTGTTCATTTTACTCCGAATGGATGGATTTTATGGTTCATGACAAGATGTCTTGATTACAGTACTCTTGGCTAGCTAATGAAATTATTGTAATGATCTGTAGTGATATGAGAACTTGTACACCTCTACCCCGATATAACACAAATTCAAACATAATGCGGTAAAGCAGTGCTCCGGGGGGCCGGGGCTGCGCACTCCGGCGGATCAAAGCAAGTTCGATATAATGCGGTTTCACCTATAACGCAGTAAGATTTTTTTGGCTCCCGAGGACAGCGTTATATCGGGGTAGAGGTGTATAGTGGGTTGTATGCTGTGTAGTATAATTGCAGCAAGAGAACAAAAAAAATGTGCTGACTGCAGTGTTTGTAGTACTGTAAGCTCCCAGAGGCTTACTACTTTATTTGTATTGCAGTAGCACATAGAGGCTCTAATTGAGATCAAGATCCCATTATGCTGGGCCCCGTACAAGTTCCTAGTAAGACAGTCCCCTGCCCCAAAGAGCCTACAGCCTAAATAGACAAGAGAAAGTGGGAAGGGAAATGGAGAAACAGAGAGGAGGGGTGACAGAGCCAGGAATAGTTCCCGGAATGAAATCCTGGCCCCATTGGCTTCAGTGACAAAACTCCCATTAACTTCAGCTGGGTCTCTTGTGAGTTTCAGTCCAGTGTTCTATGCCCTGGACTACACAGCCTCTGTCTCCCCTATCCCAGCTGGTCTGATGAGGCAGGAGTGTTTTTTCACCCTCAGGGCATGCTGCAAGGCTCAGTTTGCCCAGGCTGTAGTTGGAGAGTCCGGCGGGATTCTTTAGTTGGAGCGAACAGTTGCTTTGGGCTTGTCTACACTGGCGCTTTACAGCGCTGCAACTTTCTCGCTCAGGGGTGTGGAAAAACACCCCCCTGAGCGCAGCAAGTTACAGCGCTGTAAAGCGCCAGTGTAAATAGTGCCCCAGCGCTGGGAGCTAATCCCCTTGTGGAGGTGGAGTACCTGCAGCGCTGGGAGAGCTCCCAGCGCTGGCGCACGACCACACTCGCCCTTCAAAGTGCTGCTGCGGGAGCGCTCCCGCGGCAGCGCTTTGAAGTTTTGAGTGTAGCCACGGCCTTTGTCTAACACTGGGTTAACAGTTTAGTGAACTTGGTTGTAAGTGAGCCTAGAGGTTGGTGACACATTATAGAAATGTGAAAGATAAATACCTATCTAGTGCCCTATGTACACGACAATTCAAACCATGGTAACTAGAACCGTACGCCAACACTTTTCTTGCTAGCAATGAACTTGCATAATTTCTGTGTAGAGCAAGCCAGTCTGAACAGTGATGTTAGCCGTTTGACAAAGCATACTATGTGCTCCATAAATAGGCTTGGCAGAATTAGATTTGATGGGTTTTTTTAATAATTTCAGTGGATATCAATGGTTTTTTTAAGCATTTTTTTTTCAATTTAAGTTCTCACTGTTGCAGGAAATTGTCAGGGGAGTCGTAAAATAACTATTTAATGATGGTAGACTTAGATTCAAAAAAGTTTTGGAACCATTACATTATAAATTGTAAACATCGTATGTCAAAATATACAAAGTAAATAGCTGAAATCAAACGCTAAAGTTCCCAAGCAGCATTTTTCCTATTCTGCCTATCTGTAAATGTTAATGGAAATATTTTGTGGTGGTTTGCATGTGTATAGTGAAATTGACATTTACCGATTAAAAATCTAATCTTTCTGAGCCATTTATAAAATAGCTTAGGGCACAGAGCAATCCTCTTTGAGGGCCAGGGAAATCCTGCTTCGTGCCAGTGCACAGACTGCTTTCAAACCCAGTGCCTGACCTTGCAAGTAACTGAGAACCCTCCACTCGTATGAGAGTTGCAAGCGGTTGACGTTTAATAGGCTTTGCCCCATTGTTTGAACTGTGAATGAAGAACTTGAAAGCTCTTTGCTGATGCATTTCAGATTGTTTTCAGGTAAGAATTGTTGTATTCATGTCTTAAATCTTTCACGTTACCATTTTGAGCATCTTGTATTTCAGGTGTGGAACCTTTTATAGCAGTTTATTTCAGTATCAAGTACCACAATGTCTGAAGACCATGACCATTTCCTCCCACGGTTCTTCTCTTTCCTCTGGTTCCCTTCTGTTATAATCTAATGTAACATATCCCAATTAAATAACATGCAAAAGATTTTTAGTTCCAAAAATGGTTCTAGATAGGAGGGGTAACTTATGCCTTGTTTAGCCAAAGAACTGTTTCTGGGTGAGGTTTGTGTGATTTGCATCTTACCATAAAGTTTTCAGTCTTTCAGTTTAAAAACGAAAACACAAACCACGAACTCATCCCATGCTGACCTTTGATTCAATAATCCTTCAAATGGGTGGGCAGTAGGCAGGTTGGATCTTTTGTTGCAATGATTAGATGCTTTTTCCATTATGCTATTACTGTGAATGTCCTTCTCTTTCAAAACCACAAACTTAGCAGAGATTTGGTATTCCCAAGATCTCGGTTTTTCCCTCTGATCTATTTTATTGAAACATTATACCATGCAGGCAACTTAGTTACTGACTATTTAAAGCAAGTAATGTAATTAACATCTTCATTTAGAGGTTTATATGGTTAGAGACAATTCTTACTTGGGGAATGAACCATGAATATGTTAGAATGGGGCAGGAAACATCTCATTAAATTTAATTAACTCAGCTCTATACAAAATGTGAATAATTCAACTGGCTTTGAATTCTAACATGCATAGTTTAAATCTGGCTCTTTTCTTGTGCTCCCAAGTTGCTCCGGGTTAGAATCTTTTCTTCGGCTTAGAGGGTTTGCAGCAAAAACCATCGTCTTCCCTTAATAAGAACTTACTTATACTGTGCACTTCTTTCAGTAAAAGGAAATCGCTTCTCTCGGGTTAATTGTTGTGGCACCAAAAATGGGGACAATGCTGCTATGTCAGGTGTGCTTTCTCCTCCATTGTTCTGCCATTCGATGGAGGCACATGGTTAATATATTTGTGGTCAGATGGAGTCAGTGCTGTTTAGCTTTGCGTTTCAGCGTAATTCCTCAGAGTGCAGTTATATTGGAACTGTAGAAGCAAGCAGGGATTAGATCGCTTCATAAAGGACAGACAGATCTTTTTGGCTCGATCACCAGTTTGAATCCAGCCCAGATTGGTAGTGACCGTAGCGGCTGCTGTTCCATGTTGTTGAGGACAGGTAATGAACAAGAGTGTTACAATCCCACTAGAGCGGTTGAGGGTTGAATGGTTTCAGGATGTCTCCCTGGTCCAATTCAGCACAGTTACTTACATAATTAAACTCCACTTTTCTACCATGTTTCATCTGTAGATTTCAAAGCGTTCTACAAACATTAATTTGACTGCCCAGCACCCTTCTGAAGTAGCGTCCATAAGAAAAATGCATGAAAATGTACTTCCTAGTGCCAGCTCCAAGATGAGTTTCATTCTTTCCCCAATTGTATTAATCATTTTAGTAGCTCACAGCTTTCCTTCCCTCTCCCTTCTGCATACCAGAGTGGGGCCAACTAGCATTTGAGACAGTCTCCGCTTCCATCCATGACCACACCAAGCTCCTCCTCCTTAAAAGGAGCACATCTTTGAGATGGACGATCTGAGCTGTTGATCCTATGAAAACAGCATGTGCTTAGATCCTTAATACAGGCTCTGGAGAGGAGAGCTCGATGAGAATCCGACTTGCACATTGTATAAAGTCTACCCATTTAAATACATTATGGGCTTAACTGCATTGGGGCTCAGATTTAATCACTTCTAATGGATAACGTGCTTCAAAATCTGAAACCTAGTGGGACTTGGCATAATTGCTTTATCTCTCCTGCTCAGAAATGGCATCGGATGTTCCCTCTTTGGGTGCAGCAGTTGCTTCTGGGAACCCTGGACCTGGTACACAGGCTGGAGTAGCCATTGTCCAGAGGACAAACAAGAGACGACCAGGGTAAGTTGTAATCACTAGAAACACAGTAAGCTCCTTGAGACAGTGTCTGCTTCCTTGCAGAGCAATTTGTGTAACCTAGCAAGGAGTGATCAGTCTTGTAATGAGGAAACATCCTTCCCTTTGAAAGGATTTAACTATTCCTCTGTCGCTTCGGCTACCCTTTGACTTCTGTTTAGGCCTTGTCTATACTGCCATTTTACAGCGCTCGAACTTTCTTTGCTCGGGGGGGGGAATCCCCCCCCCCCCCCCCGAGTGATGCAAGTTTCAGCGCTGTAAAATGCCAGTGTAGACAGTGCTGGGAGTTATTCCCCTCACTGGGGTGGGGTTTTTTTTTACAGTGCTGGGAGAGGAGCCGTGACTACACAGCCATGTTGCGCTTAAACGTCGGTTGTGTAGACATACCCTTAGTCTTTTTATCTTGTTGTGTCTTTTATGCAAACCATATCCCAAATGCCTCTAAGCTAACATGATTAGAGTTAAAGGGTGCAGTCAAAAGAAGTTGAGTTTCAGGACAAAAGAGAAAAGATGTCTTCATCCAAGGCTGGGAATGACGTGGGGGGGTCACTGAATCACAGATATAAGGAGTCTGCTCCAGAATATGGTAGCTGCAAAGAAGAAAGCACTTCTGCTGGTGCAGAGGCTGAGACTGGGGGAAGGGATGGAGAATGCCAGTGGATCAGTAATGCTCCTGCAATGCCTTTCTGCTGAGACTCTGTAGGGGGAGGTTTATTATAGCAGTAATGCTTGCACTGCAGTTTTATTTTGCTAAAATACCTTTGCAAGTGGAAGGGACAGGGAAAGCACACTTGAATGGCTTCTCTTAAAATGCCCATTGCTGGTAAAATCCTCTTATTTTGAAGCGGACTAAAACATTCCCCGACCAGCTTTGCTCGCTGCTCCAGCACAGGTCCCTCCCCCTCTGCCGCATCCTTGTTCCTTGCATTTTATTTACAGACTCGTATGCAGCTGAGCTGGTTCTGTATGCCAGGTTCCAACTTGAAACGAAGCAAAGTGATAAGTCTTTTCCCCCTCCCATGCATACAGAAGGTGGTCACAATAAAAATGGCGGCCCTTGTCTAATGCAGTGATGCCATCTAATGTCACTAAGAATACTAACTGGACCGTTCAGACTTCACTGACTTTTTATTTTGTTTTCCTTTTTTAAAACCAAATTCTCCAGTTGGAGACTGCCACTTGGATCAGATCAGGGTGTGCAGAGTGCAGGGAGCTACACCTCTACCCCGATATAACACGACCCGATATAACATGAATTCCGGGGGGGGGTGGGGCTGCGCACTCTGGCGGATCAAAGCAAGTTCGATATAACGCGGTTTCACCTATAACGCGGGAAGATTTTTTTGGCTCCCGAGGACAGCGTTCTATTGGGGTAGAGGTGTATCTGCTTTATCAGATCACTCGCTGTTCTGAATCACCCACCATACTTGGTAACCGAGGTTAACGCATGGCGAAGGTGATCTCATGCCAAATGGCCTTCCGCACCATTGCACACTCCATTTCTGACAAGTGCATATGGGAAGCCCCCTATTTGGATTTCCTGGCTCTTCCCAGTATTACTGTAATGTGGGGTTGGTTTTAATATTAGCTTCAAACAAATTCTGCATCTTTCCAAGGTGCAAGTTGCAGGGCTGACAGTTTCTCCTTTCGAGCTGGTTATCCACTATCTCTGGTAATGGTTGCTTCTCCCGCTTCTGTTTTTCAGGCTTGATTTTGATGATGATGATGATGAAGAAGAAGGGAACAAATTCCTCAGGTGAGGCGGCTTTTTCCAGTCATACGCTCGTTAAAATATACAAAACTTATGGTAAAACATGAGGTGAAAACACTCTCCTCACGGGGAGGGCTTCCCTCCCAGCACTGGTGGGAGTGGGGTTGACCCTCTTTGGAGGAAGGTACAGCAGCCCTCCTTGGGCAGGGGGATGATCTGCAGTAACACAAGGTCTGTTGGATGGAGGTGGGGAGAATACAGATGCTCAGCATTTAGGGTCAGCTAATCAAAGCCAGGAGACTCAGATAAAAAATTTTCTATTCACACATCCCTGGTGTGCTAAAACACTAGAGATCTCAGAACAGTATGTGTCATCTTGCATCCCAGTATGCTGTCATATCCAAACCGACTGGAGTGAGCCAAAGAGACAGCGTTAACTCTCTGGAAACTGGACTGGTGTGTTCATTCACACCATGCAGTGGTATTTGGGTAGCTTTCAGACGGGGCAGACCTGATAGTGTCCTGTCATATGTTCGATTGCTGCCCTCTGTGTTCGAGTATTCCTGTTAGAACGCCTAAACCAGAAATGTCTGCTAGTAGTGAGTCTTGATGAGCCAAGATAACACTGGTACTAGCTATACAGTAATACATCACTCGGTTATTTCAGTTGATAAGATTAAGTATGGCACTGCTGAAACATCCCTGCTAGTGTAACAAAGTGGCTAATGGGGGAAAGCAAATGTGATTTAACTCCTTTTAGATCTTTCAAAGGCGAGTTAAGCAGCTGTTCAGGGTTTCCTTTGGGAATAGAAGTCCAGCCTAACAGCATGTTTCTCCTATAACAAGGTCAAACCCTTTTGCTAATGAGCCGAGTTTCCATTACTGTCCTAGCAATTTGCCATTCAATCTATTGTACGGATGCTCTAGGTTAGCTTACAGCAACCCCCTACTGCTGAGAACTCCCAGTGGCTGCAAACGTCCCTGTTTATCATAATCCATATGGAAGATTGGGAAGTCATGAAGAGCTCATGTAATTAATCTGTAGTCCAGTTACATGGATTAGTTTTTTGATTTAGACAACTCTAATGCAATCCTAGGATGCATTAGGCGAGGTATTTCCAGTGGATATGGGGAAGTGTTATTGCCATCATACAAGGCACTGGTGAGACCTCTTCTGGAACACTGTGCTATTCTGGTCTCCCATGTTTAAGGAACATGAATTCGAACTGTAACCTGTAGCCGTTCTCTGCATGATCAGAGGAATGGAGACCCTACCTGACGAGAGGAGAGTTAAGGAACTTTGCTTGTTTAGCCTAACAAAATGAAGGGTGAGGGGGCGTTATAATTGCTCTCTTTAAATACATCTGAGGGGTAAACACCAGGGAGGGAGAGGAGTTATTTAAGTTAAGGGCCAATGTTGGCATAAGAACAAATGGATATAAACTGGCCATCAATAACTTCAGGCTTGACATTCGATCAAGGTTTCTAACCATCAGAGGAGTGAAGTTCTGGAGCTGCCTTCCAAGGAGAGACATAGGGGTAAAAAACCCTAACTTGTTTTAAGACTGAGCTTGATAGGTTTATGAGTGGTGCCTACAATGGTAGATGGTCCATCGGCGACTGCTATTAGCAAGTATCTTCAGTGGCCAGAGATGGAACACTAGAAGGTGAGGGCTCTAAGTTACTACAGAGAATTCTTTCCCAAGTGTATGTCTGGTGGGTCTTGCCCACATGGTCAGGGTCTAACTGACTGCCATATTTGGGGTCGGGAAGGAATTTCCCCCCGAGATCAGATTGGCAGAGACCCTGGGGGATTTTTTCATCTTCCTTTGCTGCATGGGTCACGGGTTGCTTGCTGGTATGAACTAGAGTAAGAGGTGGAGTCTCTGTAATTTTAAGTCTTTTACTGAAGTCCTCAGATCTTGATTTACTCAGCTAGCGGTTATGGGCCTACCACAGGAGTGGGTGAGTGAGTTTTTGTGACTTGCAATGTGCAGGAGATCAGACTAGATGATTATGACGTTCCCTTTTGGCCTTAGAGTCTGAGTCTAATGAAGCTCAAAATCCATATGTCAATTTGTCAGTTTTTCCCAGGCTGCATGGCATTTTGCTATGCAGTTTAATGCCATTCAAGCTTTGGAATGGCTAACGAGCATGACAGTGGTTCCGGCTTCTTTATTTTTGTAGTGTATGTAGGATTTATCTACTGAATTCTAAGTCATTGAATGGATGAGTCTATGGGAGAAATTGCATCTTCAGAGCATAATTTAAGCCGTTTTACTTACGAGATTCAGGCAGTGGGAGGTGGCTGATCGTGGTATAAGATCACTCTTATGAGTCATATGGAAGAAATGTAACTAAGCTTATTAATCTCTAAGCACTTGAGAATGGGAAACAAAGCTATGACTTCACTGTGTCGGGTTGTAACTTGTATTCTACGTAACTGGTGTAATTTTTTCAGTGTGGCTTTCCCACACAATTTAATCAACTTGTTACTTTATTGTTGAAAAGGAATGACATGTAAGTATTTTAAAACCTTTTTTCCTTTCCCCCCCATCCTAGATGTGATGATGATCAGATCCCAAATGATAAAGAGAGATTTGCAAGGTAAGAATTCACAGTACTGTGGTCCATAAAACCCACAAAGTCCTACTGCTTACATCTGGGGCACCTCCCCTCCCTGGTAGTGCATGTTCACCACCCTTCTCATTTTTTTGTGTTTTTCTGAGGAAAGCCTACATCTTGCACCAGGGAAGCTAGAAATCCTGCAAAATTGCTTTAGAGAGCAGTTTGATTGTAAAAGGTATCAACTAATTCAGTGTGACTTTTTTGCGATGCTTCTCCTTGTTCAGCTGTCGATTAGGAGCCCCCAAATCTTATAAAAATACACGTGTGCCGCATGCTTGTAACAAACTGTACTTGTACGGCGTTTCCTTTTCTGCCTGTAGTATGCCTCCTGCGTGTTGCCTACTTGTATATTTTGTAAAGGAATTCTGCCAAAGCGGTGTGGATAAATGGGTTGGGTTTTTTTAAGAGACCAGATAATACAATAGCCTCATTAGAGAACGCTTTGACCTTGAAGTTTGAGGGAAGTGTCTGATAATGTTGGTGCTGTAGCACTCTTTCCTCAAGCACAGCTGAAGTCAATGGGAGCTGAGGGCATTGACCGCCTTGCAGGAAGTGCTCTGTACCATCTAGAATTGGGCACTGGCACTGTTGTCTTTTTCCGGTTGCCTTGGGCGCATTGAAGGGGCACCGCAGGCCTAGAATGAAGCTAATATAAGCTGATTTGAAATGATTAATTTAAATGGGTTTTTTAACGTGACTTTGTAATGTTGCTAAACGTTTGAGGGTTATGTATGTTCTGAATGCTGGCTCCAGTCCACATCTTCATTGTGAGAGTCCATTTTGTCTTCTGATTTTGCTAAACTCTTAGCCAAAATAAGCCGCTCTAGAGCATTAGCATCAGTGCATGCAGTGACTTGTATTAAGCAGCTAAATCATTCAGCTAGAACCAATGAAATGCCCTAGATCTAAACGCTCCTGAACTTGGTGGAGTTAAAATACAAACTTCAGAGCATGGGGCTCATCCCTGGGTACAAATTACGGCCCTTACTCAATGTCAGAACTGCTAGTATTCCTCCGGAGAGAAAGCAAAGGATGTTACTTGTGTTTATAAAGAACTTCCATTCACTAAAATGCTGTGGGCAAAGGGCCTTGCAGTGTAGTGGGTCGTGGATCTTGAGGTTTGGGGGTGCAGAGGAGGCAGGAATGGTACTGAGCCTTCTGTAGGGAGCCCTTCTCCGGCAGAAGGACAGTGTGTGTGCCAGTGTTGGGCCTCTGAAAGAGAAAAGGATTAAAAATGGTGTGTGGGGGGTGGGACTTTGGCAGAACTCCTTGGGTAAGCTATAGTGTTCCTGCACTGGAGTTCTATTGTTACAGCAGCTCTGCATTTCCAGGTTTCTTTCCTAACTCCTTGTTTCTGTGCGTTTACACTGGAGCTGTAACCTTCTTAACAACAAAAGTCTCAGCACAGAAAGCGAACTCTCAAAACCAGCCTCTTCAGGTCTGTTATGGGCAGTACATGCATCTACAAGATAACGCTATGGGCTCAACTTCACTAGGCTTTTGTATTTTGAGTTAATTGCCAGTTCACTTCTGTTCACGTTAACCAACCTGCACTGGCTAACCTGTGTTAAAAAGACTTCTTTCCCTAGTGTAAGCATGGCCTTGGTGGCTTTTGAAGAAACTTAAATATAATAAAAAACGGCAGATTCTTTAAGCATTATCAATGCATAATGTAGCACAGGTTCTCTTGGTATCATATGTTGTGATACCCTAGGACTGCTGTACAGGGTCAGAACGTTAGCTCTCGAGTTGGATATACTGTTTCAGTCCCCGACCCTTCCCAGGAGTTGTTAACTCTACAATACTCCAAGCCAGTGGTGCAGTGTTGCACGTGAGGTTGTGTGGAAATTCATCTTGACCCTCTGCATGTGATCAACTTACGCCCTGAAGCATGAGATCAGGTTCTCCTTATCTTGGCATACATAGCTACAAATGTTAGCAGCGATGGACCTTATAATTACCCGGGTTAAAACAAACAGCTACCGTCTTTAACCTCCACTCTTGTGGTTAAAAAATTAAACAAATGAAACAGCGGAGGCATTGAGCTGCTAATGTGCAGGACCACTGTGTCCAACATCATTCTGCATATCTTCAGCACTTAGAGTCTGTTCCTTATCGATGTGTAAATCGATACATTCTCTCCTATACATGTTGACTGAGCCCGCAAGATAGCAAGTTACTTCAAGTGTAGAATAGGAGTACTGCAAATACCTGGGTGTTACATTCATAGAATCATAGAATATTAGGGTTGGAAGGGACCTCAGGAGGTCATCTAGTCCAACCGCCTGCTCAAAGCTGGACCAATCCCCAACTAAATCATCCCAGCCAGGGCTTTGTCAAGCCTGACCTTAAAAACCTCCATACATTGCTGCTGTATGATTACTCTTTATCAATCTGTGTAGAATTGGAAACTCTTTCACTACTGCTGGAATGAAGAATGCAGTAAAGAATGGGGTTGGATAAAATATATATTTATACAACACATTTGATCGTGATACCCAGGGACTAAAGTCCTTTGTATCCATGGAATTAAACTGCACCTATTTTGCCCATTAATCCACCTCTCCTGGGACCTCTGAGCAGCTTTCATATGGCCACCATTTACCAGCTGAGAGTCTCTCTCCCCCCACCCCCCTTCTTCCTCAAAATATGTATTGAGTAAACCAGGGCTTGAAAGTCAAACATCAGCTATTCAGTACAGGACTAATAAGTTTTAAGCCCCAGTATATCACAGTTGGCCAGTGCTAGAAACTTATGCTCCACTCCATGAATCCTAGCTATATTTTGAAGAGCATGCTTTTTTTATGCCTGGCAAGCAGTGGGAGATTAAACATAAAATTGTAGCTCCCTGACTTATAGAGAACATTTAGTATCTGAAAACTTACAAATGTAGCTTTTGAGTCATTATGTGGTACCTAAGGCAACCTGGTTTGAAGGACAGAGAGGTTTGGAAAAAATCCCCCCCCCCCCACATACTTTTCTGTAACAATCCTATACGAGCATACATGTTGTTGTGATTATAAGGTTTCTGTAGGCCCCTTGTTTAGATGACTTGCACAATACCTTTGTGGTTTCACCGCTCATGCATAATGTGGTGGTCCCAAATGTGTGCCAACTCCTTCTCATCACGTGGTGTCTGTGTATTTAACAATGTTATAAAGGGCACTTGTGTCTTGGTCTCTGACTCTTGGCATTTGCGGGTGTCCTTGTTTGCAAAGTCTGAGTATGTTAACACTACAAATCAACAGGCTGTGTGTATTGATTAAAAAAACCTTCTTTCTCATTACTTAGGGAGGTAAGTGTGACTGAGAGTCAGGACTTCTGGGGGCTTTTCCCAGCTCTGCTGCTGACCTTCTACAAAATTATTTCGGTGTGCCTCAGTTTACCCGTCTGTAAAATTGAATCTAACACTTGTCTACCTTATCGGCTTGCTTGATGTTTTCAGAGTGCTTTGAGACACTTTGATAGAAGATGCTAGATAAGTGTATAACACAATACATTTAATGACCTCCTTGTTTTGTGATCTGTTTTATTACAGAACAGATGTATCTATAGGTTGGGTTTCCTAATACATCTTCCCATTTTTTCTTTAAACTTTTTTCCATTTTAGCTTAGTTCACTAATTTTATTTTTAGGTCTGATGATGAGCAGAGTTCAGCGGATAAGGAAAGACTTGCCAGGTAGGTAGGAGAATGGAGATTTCAAGCATGGCACAACAGAGTACTTCCTCTCCTTGATGTTTCTGCAGGCATCCCCACTTTTTTTTTCTTTCTCCTTATCTGCTGCAATAAAGGACTTGAAACTGGACAGACTTCTGGAAATCTGTGATAGTAAAACTTCAAGCTGTATTCTCCTTGTGAGAACATCTTGCGGGAATACCCTCAAACGAATTGGTTTGCATCCAAACCCAGACAGCAGGAAGACCGCAGGGCAGAGTGTGGCTGGGCCAGTGCTTTCACAGATTACGGTAGCTCTGCTAACTTCAGCCTTGGCAAGTAAAACCTCTCTTCTGCTGGACTGAGAGAGGCTAGGTGCAGGAATACCCAGTTTGTAAGCTCCTGCCACGTTGCGATGGTGCCTTTTACCACTGTATAAATAGATATCGTAATTGTATTGGCCAGACTTCTTCTAAACGCCAAATACCGGTTTGGTGTATGGCAAAACAGAATGGGCACTGTGCTGTAAAAGAGTGAGGTTTTTTTGGTTTATTTTTTAATCTGTTATTGAAAAGTCACTCCTCTTAAGTAATACATGGAATCATTACATGGGTTTGCGTGTTTAGAATCTGTCAAGGTTCTGGTTGGCTTATTACATGCTGTCTAAGAAGCAGAGACACCACCTGGAAGTGCAGCGTTTCATAGTTGAAATATTTCTGACCAGATAAGAAAAAGATGGTCAGTGGTTTACAGGAGGACCCCTAAGTGTGTCTCTGGCGAACGAGGGACTTTTTAGCTGCTTGTGTAGACAGTAGAATGCAGTACTTCCAGGAGTCCTCGTTCTTCTTCAATTAAGCAGTGACCCCACAATCTCTCGTTACGGCTGTCTTGCAAAATCCTTCTTGTTGAGAAGAGGATTTTGCAATGTGGCAAGTAAAATATCATTGATTTCCCCATTATCCTGACAGAAAGGGTAGGTGAGTAATACATGTCTGGGCAGGTAAATTTTCATTGCAATGGTGGCAAGCTAAATTAAAGATGAATGGGATATTCAAAGCACTGTGCCGAATGCTATTCCCCCTTCAGCAAAAGGCAAGTCCCTATTAAACAACTGCATAAGCCTAATAGGTGACTCTTCTTTTTTTTTTTTAAATTTTCCCTTTTTCGTCTATCGTATTTAGTTCATTTTTTACTGTTTCTTTCACTTGCTGTCATCCATCCAGTTTCATCTCCCATCGCGTGATTCCTTGCATTGATCCACGCTGTTTGCACCTCTAATCAATCTTTCCTATAGGAAACCTGGCATTATGTTCTGGTTTGAAAAATCCACGTTCATAACCCAACTAAATTACACTTGGTCCATAAATGCAACATGTGAACACGTGCTAGCCTCTATCCTGGGGGTGCCAATAGGGAATGTCCCCCCAGAAGCAGATGGATTCCTGAGAGAGGCATGTTATACCCACTAGTGGGATCAAATCAAGGAACGTTAGTTCTAATGCATCTCTAGGAATCTGTACCTCCGCACCGGCGGTAATGTGGTGGGACACGGGGTACAGGTATGTGTCTCGCAGGTAAGGACGTTGGGCCGCTTGTAGAGTTCACTTTGTTTTATACTAGAGATGAAATTGCCTCCCAAAGAAATTAGCAAGCCATAGTGCCTAATGGTCGTATATGTGAAACTCCAGCAGTGGACAGAAATTACATTTACAACCACTTTACAGCCTTTCTGTGTGTCCAGCATGGTGTAAAAGGTGCCTTAGTGTAACTGAGAATCAGGCCTGTAGCGTTTACTTATTTCAAAGGAGCATCACCACAGTAACTGTGAGGAAACCTATATTACTGTTGTAGGTTAGTGGTTTTCTGCAGAACGATGCTCTCGATCCGCTGAAGAGAGCTTCCCGTGTTAAAGTAGCTTAGCCCTAACAGTGTCCTTCGCGAGACTTCTTGAATAAATATAATTTAGAGCAAGATGCTCTTGTGTTTGGCAAAGATGTCCTGGCTCTAGCTTCTCTCCCTTGCACTTGTTTTTCCCGTGTTCTTTCATGCATGCCCAGCATGGGAGGCTTTTGCAGCCCTTCTAACTTCTGACGACCCTGGCCCATCTTTTTGTTTTGCGCTCCGGCCTGGCGGGAACCCAGGAAGGGTTGACGAGGCAAAAGAGCTGAGCCGTTTGGCTCTGGTGACCTCTCCCCATCTGCTTTCCCAGGGAGAATCACAGCGAGATCGAGCGCAGGCGTAGGAACAAGATGACCGCCTACATCACGGAGCTGTCAGACATGGTGCCCACCTGCAGCGCCCTGGCTCGCAAGCCTGACAAACTGACTATCTTGCGTATGGCTGTGTCGCACATGAAGTCCTTGCGGGGCACTGGCAACACCTCCACTGATGGCACCTACAAACCCTCCTTTCTCACTGATCAGGTCTCTGCTGATTTTGCTTCTAAGGAAAGACTGAAAGAGCTCAATGGGTAGCTCAGCCAGAGGGCGATTAATGTGGGGGAGACCTAAGAGCTTAAAGGTAGCTGGTGGGTGATGACTGTCTCGCCGCTGGGTTAAGAACGTGTCTCTTCTGTATGCAGGAACTCAAACACTTGATTCTAGAAGCAGCCGATGGCTTTCTGTTCATAGTGTCTTGTGAGACCGGAAGGGTGGTGTACGTCTCGGACTCGGTGACTCCCGTCCTGAACCAGCCGCAGTCCGAATGGTTCAGCAGCACCCTGTACGACCAGGTGCATCCTGACGACGTGGACAAACTGAGGGAGCAGCTCTCCACCTCGGAGAACGCTTTGACAGGTAAAGCAGCCTGCTGTGGAAACTCTGCCATGCCGATAATTCCCAGAATTTGTAGTGCACCCGTTGGCCTGGCGTGTGGATGATCCTAGTAGGCTAGAACTTGATCGTTAGCATTCGTGATAAGAGGAACAGACCACCCTGGGCCTCTAACAAAGATCCTGAGGATGCATCAGAAGATGCATATAGGCTGAATTTCCATTGTTCTCCTTGTTCATGGTGCTAAATCTGTTACGGGGAGGGGCACGCTACTACACCCCTGTTAAAGCATGGAGTCTCTCACTCCATCCTCAACTATGCATGGGCATGTGACAGACACTACCTTTCTATCTGACAAGTGGATGGGCTGCCAAGGAACCCTTAAACAATGTGCCTGGATCTGCTCGAGCCGTTTGAGCGTTGAGGCCTTTCCTTTTACCCCTCTAGCATCAGGGCTGACCATAATGCTGTCAGCCTCTGGAGCAGGGGACCAGCTTCTGTAGGAAGACGCAGACCAAGAGCCTGTCTTTAGTTTCAGTGTCACGTAGGATTTATGCACTACTGTGTCCTGTTTTAAAGCTGGTTACATAGTAGCTGCTGCTTAGAAAATTAAGTGGTGCCCGGTATGCTGTCTGGTGTATCCTGGTGATACCGAGTGACGATCCCAGAAGTTTTCCTGTAGAGCAGCATCACTTGGCTTGTCTTTTTCCCCCCCCCTCAGGTCGAATCCTTGATCTAAAGAGTGGGACAGTCAAGAAGGAAGGCCAGCAATCCATGAGAATGTGCATGGGCTCAAGGAGATCCTTCATCTGTCGAATGAGGTAATACGGGGAATCCGATAGGAGATCTGGTTGCATGAGCCCATGGCTAAACCTGCGAACTGGCTGCTTAACAAATATCAGAGCAGTTAAGCTTTTCTCGGTCTCTTTCAGCCTTCTCAGTTTCATGAGGTAGAAGGTGGCTCTGTAAAACCTGTTTTCCTAATGGGGTTCAGCTCTAAAACAGACTCTTACTTTTTCCACCCTGTGTTAAGGGGATTGTACAGCTCTCAGAGACGTAACCGCAGGCAGCTCGAGAACTCCGGGTCTGTTCCTGCTCTGCCGTTGACTTGCTCTGACCTTGGGCAGGTCACCTAGCCCGCTGCTTCAGTAAAGTAGGGCTAGTTACCCCCAAGAGGCGGTAGCGATGTCCGCTTCTCCCGTCGACATAGCACTGTCTACACCGAACATTCAGGCGGTGTAATGGTATTGCTCAGGAGTGTGGATTTGCCACACTCCTGAGTGACCTCATTATACTGACGTAAGTTTGTAGTGTAGACCAGGGCTCAATTCATGTTTATGAAGCATTGTGGAATCTTGAATAAAAGGGCAAAGTATCTTATTTGCAGTCTTTACCATTGGGGTTGACGCTTTTTTTTTTTTCCCCCTCTTGACTGGTCCAGGTGTGGCAACAGCTCAGTGGATCCAGCCTCCATGAATAGACTCAGCTTCATGAGGAGCCGATGCAGGTAAACTGCAGTGATCACGTTTAAAGACGATGCGTATGAGTCTCGCACCACATTGAGTAACAAAGTAAAAAAAGACCTGAGAGCGGCGTACATAAAGCATATATGAGATGGTATAGCAAAGCCTCTTTGAGTGCTTAAATATGTACGCTGTCGATGGAGAGAGACCTCAGCAATGCCGCTTTCCACAAGACACTGTTAATGTGCAGATTAAAACTTCAGACCATTATTCTATGCAGTATATAGATTAAAGTTCCAGCAGCAGAGCACAGGTTGAGATTCTGTTCCCTTCGGCTTTAATATATTTTTGAAAACAAGCAGTGTTACTTTTAAAGGACATTAAGGCAGGCTCAGATGTCTTCAGTGCCTGGAAATCACAGCACATGTAATAACTCCATTGTGCACGCATCTGACCTGAAGAACATAAGACCGACCATACTGGGTCAGACTAGTGGTCTGTCTAGCCCAGAGTCCTGTCTTCTGACAGTGGCTGGAGTCAGATGCTCCAGAGAGAATAAATAGGACGGCAGATCTTCAGTGATCTATCCCCTGGCATCCAGTCCCAGTTTCTGGCAGTCAGTGTCTTAGGCTTGGTCTACACTTACCCCCCAATTCGAACTAAGGTACGCAACTTCAGCTACGTGAATAACGTAGCTGAAGTTCGAAGTACCTTAGTTCGAACTTATCTCGGTCCACACGCAGCAGGCAGGCTCCCCCGTCGACGCCACGGTTCCCCCGTCGACACCGCGGTACTCCTCTCGTCTAGCTGGAGTACCGCAGTCGACGGCGATCACTTCCTGGTTCGACTTATCGCGTCCAGACAGGACGCGATAAGTCGAACCCAGAACTTCGATTCCCAGCCGCCGAACTAGCGGCTGGGTGTAGACATACCCTTAGGCTTGGTCTGCACTACAGAGTTAGGTCAATATAAGGCAGCTTAGGTCGTCCTAACTCTGTGTCTATACCACGACGTCACTCCCGACGATGCAAGTCACCCACTACGCCAGTGTAATACCTCCACCTCCGCAAGAGGCGTAGCGCTTAGGGCGATGTAGTTAGGGCATTATGTACATCACCTATTGGCAGTCAGCCCCATGTGTGGCTTACAGCTGGGAAAACCCCACCCTCCACGCCCCGGGTCTGACAGCCTGAGCTGTTTGGGACACCCAGAGCATGGGGTTGCGTCCCTGACCATCTTGGCTAACAGCCATCGATGGATCTAAATTAGGTGTCATTGGGTGTGCAGGCTCAGGGACTACACTCCCTCCTTGAAGACCCTTCATTTCAGTTATTTAAAGAATCCAAAATAAGCTGAGCCTCTTAAACATAAAGAGAATAATCTTAATTGTTTCGTCTTCTCTAGGAGCGGCTTGGGTGCAGTGAAAGATGGGGAGCCCCATTACGTGGTGGTGCACTGCACAGGGTATATAAAAGCCTGGCCCCCAGCAGGTAAGGAATCACGCCAGCTCCTTGAAATATTCGAGTTACCAAGTCTGCTCTTAAGCTAGTCTGTGGTGTTCGCACATTCTTGTTCTTGTTTTCAGACTGCCCATGTTGCTAAGCAGGGATGTTTGGAGACACATTTCAAAATTCAGAGAGAACTAAAAAGGGTACCGAACTCTGCTGAATCAGTTCCTATAGGTCTGAGGGTTTATAGAAGGATGGGATGTTCCTGGTGGTCAGGAGAGCGGGTCTCGCTTTCAGAACACAGTCCAGAGAGAGTCTAGAGAACCTGGTGCTGAAACGAGACTCACATTATCCTTTCCTTTGACTTTCATATAACAGTTTGAGTAAGTTGAAAACCGCACAGGTGTTGAACTTGAACATGTTTTTAGCCTGTCAAACCCTTTTGACTAGGAGAAAGTGACTGGCAACAAAGTAACAGTAAGGTGTGAAATATTGAAATCGGAGCTTCTTCTCTTGCTGCTTCCTGTGTGGGATTAGGGGCTTCTGGTACGCTTGTCATGCTGTAATTCCTTAAACATTCTCTCGTCTTTTGTCTCAGGTGTCTCATTGCCAGACGATGACCCAGATGCTGGCCAGGGGAGCAAATTTTGCCTTGTGGCCATTGGCAGACTACAGGTGAGTAGAAAGAAACTTTTGTCATTCAGTGGGAATGTGGTGATGCTGAGAATTAAACCACCTTCCTCCTTTCTCTCCAAGGGCCTTGAGCAGTATCTTCTCTCCATGCAGCCTGTCTATGTTCCTTTCCTCCCAGCCATGTCATTTGTGGGTCTAGATAAAGCAAACACAATCACTCTCTGGAGAATAAAACTTAACGGTGGATTTCCCACAAGCCCAGCCCAGCACTCTGAAACCTGCCAGGTGCATTCTGGGGACTGACGTGCCAGCAAGTGCACTGAATGCCCCATCTGGCTTCACAGTTCCTGCTCTCTATCTCATGCTGGCATCTCAACTCCTGGGGGTGTTGTGAGCATCACTGCCCTTTGGAAATGTGCAAAGGGCTGTATAAATGTTGGTAAATATTTAATTAGCCTTTGAATTGGGTATGGATTTACCTGGGCTCAGATGCAGCTTTATTCCACCTTTCTGACATACGTTAGAGACATTCCTATTTAATACCTGCCACCTGTTCCTTTCCAAGCAGCGATGCCTGCTTCATGGTTCAGTGGGAGAAAATTCTGTTCATCCAGGCCAAGCACCTATTGTATATGTTGGCTGGGAGGGCATACTTGCACCTCTGAGTGGCTTTCTTTAAACCTGAAACCAAATCTGTCTTGCTTTTCAGGTCACTAGCTCACCCAACTGCACAGACCTGAACAATGTTTGTCAGCCAACTGAGTTCATCTCCCGACACAACACCGAAGGCCTTTTCACCTTCGTAGATCACCGCTGCGTGGCTACAGTTGGCTACCAACCACAGGTGAGAAACGGTAGAAGCTTCCCAATGTAGATTGCTGCAGTTCAAACCGGCTTCCCCTCCCCCTTGCTCCACATGTCATGGCTTCAGTTGTCTGATAGAACTGAGCTAAAACAAATTAGTGGTTAGGTATTGAACCAGCCATCAATTTCAGCTCCACTAGATGCTTAGAAAACAGATGAAAGGTGACAAATCTGAGGAACTGTCCCAGATTGAGGTGTCAATAGAGGAAGTTTTGGAACAAATCAATACATTAAACAGTAATAAGTCACCAGGACCAGGTGGTATTCACCCAAGAGCTCTGAAGGAGCTCACATATGAATTTGCAGAACTACTAACTGTGGTATGTCACTTATCACTTAAATCAATTTAATTACCAAATGACTGGAGGATAACTAATGTGACACCAATTTTTTAAAAAAGGCTCCAGGGGTGATCCTGCCAATTACCGGCCGGTAAGACTAATTTCAATACCAGGCAAACTGGTTGAAACTATAGTAAAGAACAGAATGATCAGACACCTAGATAAACACAATTTGTTGGGGAGAGTCAACACAGCTCTTGTAAAGGGAAATCGCGCCTCACCAATCTGCTGGAATTCTTTGAGGGTGTCAACAAAGACGTGGACAAGGGTGATCCAGTGGGTATAATGTACTCGGACTTTCAGAAAGTCTTTGACAAGGTCCCTCACCAAAGGCTCTTAAGCAAAGTAAGCAGTCGTGGGATAAGAGAGAAGGTAACTCATGGATTGGTAACTGGTTAAAAGATAGGAAACAAAGGTTAGGAATAAATGGTCAGTTTTCAGAATGGAGAGAGGTAAATAGTGGTGTCCCCCAGGAATCTGTACTGCGACCAGTGCTGTTCAACATGTTCATAAATGACCTGGAAAAGGGGGTAAACAGTGAGGTGGCAAAGTTTGCAGATGATACAAATTTACTCAAGATAGTTAAGTCCAGAGCAGAGTGCGAAGAGTTACAAAGGATCTCACAAAACTGGGTGACGGGGCAACAAAATGGCAGATGAAATTCAATGTTGATAAATGCAAAATAATGCACATTGGAAAACATCATCCCAACTGTACATACAAAATGGAGTCTAAATTAGCTGTTACCACTTGAGATCTTGGAGTCATTGTGGATAGTTCTCTGAAAACAACCGCTCTGTGTGCAGCGACAGTCCAAAAAGCGAACAATGTTAGGAACCATTAGGAAAGGGATCGATAATAAGACAGTAAATATCATAATGCCACTATATGAATCCATGGTACGCCCACACCTTGATGCTGGGTGCAGTTCTGGTCACTCCATCTCAAAAACATATATTAGAAACGGAAAAGCTACAGAGAAGGGCAACAAAAATGATGCCAGGGTGTGGAACAGCTTCCATATGAGGAGAGATTAAAAAGACTGGGACTATTCATCTTGGAAGAGAGGCAACTAAAGCGGGATAGGACAGAGGTCTGTAAAATCATGACTGGTGTGGAGAAAGTGAATAAGGAAGTGTTATTGACCTCTTCATGAAACACAAGAACTGGGGTCACCCGATGAAATGAATAGGCAGCAGGTTTAAAACAAAGGAAGTACTTCTTCACACAACGCACAGTCAACCTGTGGAACTCATTGCCAGGGGATGTTGTGAAGGCCAAAACTATAACTGAATTCAAAAAAAGAATTAGGAGGATAGGTCCATCAATGGTTATTAGTCAAGATGTCAAGGATGCAATCCCATGCTCTGGGTGTCCCCAAGCCTCTGACTGCCAGAGTCTGAGACTGACAGGGGATGGATCCCTCAATAATTATTCTGTTCTGTTCATTCCCTTGGAGGCATTTGGCATTGGCCATGGTCAGAAGACAGGACCCTGGGCTAGATGGAACATTGGTCTGACCCAGTGTGGCCATTCTTGTGTAACACGGATCAGTGGAGGGAGGTGGATCTGGCATATATTTAGAGCAAATTTGATTGAAGGCAAGGTCTTCGACTCCACTTCTGAGTTACAGATTAAACATCAGGGTCAGCTGCTGTGGTGCTGTGTTTTGTAAAAGTGCATCAATTCCTAAAATAGGTGAATGGCCTGATGGTTTTGTCTGTGGGAGTTGTAAGCATTAGTCCAAAGTGGAGCTATTCGAGCAGGCCGAAAGCAGGGAGTCTGCTTATTAAATGGAGACTTTTTTTTTTTCTTTTCCTCTTCAAAATTAGGAACTCTTGGGGAAAGATGTTGTGGATTTCTGCCACCCAGAAGACCAGCAGCTTTTGCGAGACAGCTTTCAGCAGGTAATATATTTAGCCACCTTGGCTGCTTAGAAGTTGATCTGCATCACAGCTCGTAAACCAATATTCCTATTGGCCGTCTGCTGTGCAGTGGAACTAAACCGGTTTAGATTTTTATCAAGGCAGGAATCACACCTCACTGGCCTTAAATTTCTCAGTTACTGAGTAGCATACATTTGAATAGATTTTTAAACACAAGAGAACTTACTAACATGCAAAATTAAACTGGGTGGGTTTGCGTGTCTAATTTATTTTTGAATTCCTCCTTTTGCTGCTAGTTGTCTGAGACCAGAGATGTGAGTACAAAGTCTTGACATCAAGGCCATGCATCAGTGGCTGTGTTCGGACACCTTACGCATGGCAAGGCAGATGAACTGGTGTCTGAACTTTAAATGGATGTGGCTTGCTGGCCCTCTTGCTGTTATTACTCTCTCCTCTGAGGGCACTTGACTTGACAGGGCAGGAAAGACTCCACTACTGATGATTCTGAAAAGCAGCTCCTCATTCGTTTGACCCAATAGTAAGAATCATAAACAGCAGACAATCTTTGGTTGCTGGAGAAATTAACTTTTTTGTTCTTATTTTCGTATATTCCATTGCTGCAAAGAGCATTAATTGAAGGCATAAGAAAATGCTACATTCCACTCCCATATCATCATCCTGGGAAGTCAGACCATTGGAGGAATATAAAAAGAGTTTAAAAGAACAGAGTAGTTGTATTGTGGCTGGGAAGCAAGGTACAATATTGTAGCCTTACGACAAAGAATGCCATAGTCAGCTGCTAGCAGGGTGGGTGTTTGCTTATAAACAACACTGTTCTCAAACGTCTTCTTTTTATCAGGTATTACTGATGGCGTTAAATTTTTCTAGGTGGTGAAGTTAAAAGGCCAGGTTCTGTCAGTCATGTTCCGATTCCGGTCCAAAAACCGTGAATGGCTCTGGATGAGAACCAGCTCCTTTACCTTCCAGAACCCCTACTCAGATGAGATTGAGTACATCATCTGTACCAACACCAACGTTAAGTATGTACATGGCAATGGCTTTCAATCCATGAGCACTTTCAGCGATCGCATGTGCACTTTGCCTGACCTAGTGCCTCCCCGTATGACCAGCTACACAGACCGGATGCTTTATGAGCTCGGGTTCTCCCACCATCACCCCCTCTTTCTCCCTCCCCACCCCAAACTTCTGTGCTTTCCTGAAAAGTCACTCACTACACTGGGCAGTATCCTGACAGTGGTGCAGTGCCTGCTATGAAATGCTTTTAATATGCATAAAATGGAATTCTACTGGATGGTCAGTTGGGAGTTTCGGGAGCTGTCAAAATTCAGTTAACTCCTGAACTTGCTGGTGGTGCATTGACTCTTCAGGCTGTATATCTGTATTTGGAGTGTTAATACTAGGAGAATGTATTTTAATGTAGCACTTGGCTTCCATGGCAGCAGGACGAGGCGTGGATAGGTTGGGGACTGGATTTTAAAAGCCACCGTTTGAATGTGAGCTGGAAAATCCTCAGCGGAGACCAGAAAGTAAATATTGACTTTGGCGTTGTCTGCTTGCTTCAGTAGCTCATCCTAGAGTCAGGAAAGAATCTCCCCTAATTGTGACCCTGCAGTAAAAATTGTGCTCTCTCGGTTACTATCTTCACGACCCACCACCCGTTCCCATCTTGGCCATCGTGGTGGCGTGGCAATACTGTGCCATAGTTGGCTCTCCATCGTGGGTAGTCGAAGGATGCTTCCTCTTCCTAGGGGGAGCACAAGGCTCTTTGTGCATGCCTAGGCACTTGAGATCCTGAGAGGGAACGCTCGAGTCTGGCAGGCACGTGTCTTGTAATTGCAGAGCTAATATTGGCCTTACAGGACGTCTGCCCAGCTGGACAAGAGGCAAGCCAGGCCATCTGTGCTCGTGGACAAAGAGGGCAGCGTTTGAGTTGGATGTTCAGGGTCCCTTCTGGACCTTTCTCAATCACGCTGTACAGTCAGCAGTGCACCTTATCCACCCACCAGTAGGAGAAACCCATTCTAATCAGACTCCCTTAAAAAGATTCAGAGCAATATTAATTCGGTCCCTCCAGGGGCTTCCCTTTGGTTCTAGACCACCATGATGGGAGCATGGGGTAAGGATCCAAGAATCTGTATTCTAATCATGCTTCTGATGTACACTTAGCTTTTCCTGGCATTAGAGGCATCTCTTTGATCGTATTCTCTCCTCCTCTTATTCAGTCCACATAAATCCATTCCCATTTCCATACTCCAGCTTCCAAATATACCACTCAAGTTCAGACCAGAAAAGCACAGCTGTGCAGCGGATAGCACGTGGTGCACTCCAGCCGCCAGGCTCTTCGCTCTGTGCTTCGCTTTATTTTTCACAGACCCAAGTACTCTCTGCTGGGCAGAAGCAACAGCTTTTAAAACACATGTTGAGATGTATCAGATTTTTCTACCTTACGGGAAAGTTTGTTAAAGTTGAGTTACATTTCGCTGTACAGGCTTCACGACTAGACCGAAACAGAGCCCAGAGAATACTTTCAGCGTTTATATTAGGCTTAACAGTTGCCCCTTACTGAGGGCATCCTGCTCGATCCATGATTTATTTACTGTCTCAAATGGTAAGTCATGTATGTTTTAGGCCTGGTAACCTTGGGAGTGCTGATTATTTGAACTGTATCTAACTGCTGAGGCTTCCAGCATATATAAATTTAATAGCAGCTCTTCTTCCTGTTGCGTATGTTGGGGAGAGGGGGGGCTAGTGCCCTTTGGATCCCAGCTGTGTATCCCATTAGATGTCTGATTCAAAGGCAGTTGAAGTTTGCGGATCGGTCCATTGACTTCATTCGGCTTTTGCAAAGATGAGGCTCTCGGACCCACGACTGAACCAAAAAAGGCAAATTTTAAAGGACAGTAACTGACATTTGCACCCTTCCTTTTCTCTCTCCCTTTTTTTTTTTTTAAACAACATTAAGGAACTCAAGCCAGGAGTCTCGGCCTGCTGTGTCTAACTCGATGCAGCGGCCACAGCAAGGACAGAATGTCAGCCTCCCCCTGGACATGGGCACAGCTCAGCTGGCGTCAAGGTGAGAGGGTTCTACTGTGCCTTTAACTTTGGTCATCTCCTCTCTTCCCCTACCTGGCCACCTTGTTTTTATAGGCCTGTCAGTTCTCTCGTCTCGCCCCTACTTTGCTCTTTGCCAAAGGAACAGACACTCTAGGGTTAAAGGTCTGAGTCAAGAGCTCCAAAATATTTATTACAGCAATCAGCCGACCTAGTTAAGTAGCAGGGCTAATGCTGAACTGGTAATTAATTTTTAAATGGGCGGAAAAGAAGAATAGCTGATCTGCTGGAGTCCAATGGGCCATGCAGGAGATTGATTGCTTACAAGAGAGTTGAATGGTTGATGCTTGTGAGCCTCTGTCGCAGAAACTTCCTTTTGCAGGGTCGAGTCTTAATCTGGTCGTGCTGGAAAATATTGGGGGTTTTTGATGGGGCTTGAGCATAGGCAGAATCTCCAGTAGTACTGTAGCAGTCCTGCTTGCTTTTATAGAGACACTCAAATTCCTGGCTGCCGGCGGGTCAGGGCTCAGTTGTTTTTAGCAGGACCCAGTTCCTATTACATTCACGTTCTATTTTAGGCAGCAGCAGACACAGCAGACTGCGCTGGACGTGGTCCCAGGAAGAGAGAGTCTGTCTGGTTATGACCACTCGCAGGTAAATCAGCAGGGATCTTGATGGTCTTTGGCCTGTGTGTTGTGATCCGTTCCTGACTGTAGATGAAAACTGGCCCATAGGGCAGTAACTTGAGGCCACCGCTTGGGAGTCTGAGTTGCTGGGTTTCACTAGAGCCCATGTTGTGACTTTCTGAGAGGACAGAGTTGGGCCTGCCACCTGCCCTGCATGAGTAATGCCCTCATCTCTTCATCAGGTGTGCTGGCACAGCCTCTCCTGCAGGGCAGGGCAAAGCTGCCTCCAGAATTCTGAGTGCACTGGTGCTCAGTCCCTCTGCTTGGGGTGCCCATATCCCCCCGAGAACCGCCTCTGTGCACCCCCTATTTTTGAGCCGTCAATACGCTCAGCACCATCAGTCTGGACCAATCCAAGTGGACATTGAGTCTGCGCTAAAGCACCTTGCAGACCAAGGTGTATGTAAAAAGCCAGGCAACAAATGCCCTCTGCTCTTTATCATAGGCAGTAGGTTCCTAAGTGGCTTCCTCTGTAATCTCATAGGCAACCTTCCTTTGCCCTCTGTTTTGCCTACTAGTTGCTTGTGCTTATATCTCCCTCCTGTGATCCAGGTTGCTGTCCAGCCTGTGACGGCTGCTGGCCCAGAACGCAGCAAACCACTGGAAAAAACGGAGACTCTGTTTAGTCAGGAGAGGGACCCGCGGTTCAGTGAAATCTACTCCGGTATCAATACAGGTAGGGATCGTGGTGTGCAGAGATTGCTGAGTTAGCCTAGAGGTTCAGTTGACTCTGTTCCTCGATCTTAGTCCTGGCTTGGTATCCTCACTTGTTCTGTTTAAATGGACCTAGTGCTAGGGACAGGGGCTGAAGTGGCAGTGGAGAGAGCAGTCCCTTCTTTTGCAGAACAGGAATGTCTCTGGCATCCCACTCACCCACCAGTCTGCCTCTAACCTTTCCCCCTGGTTGCTGCCTTCCCAGCAGTGCCTTCCTCACTGCAGTCAGCATCTTGGCAACGCTTCGGGAGGGTAGAGGCAGTCTTTTTGCCCTACGCCTTGGGCCAAGTGTCCCAGGTCTGGGATCTCCTCACAACCCCTTCTGCCTATCCCCAGAGAGCAGCTTTGTTTTCCGTGACTCAGAACAGACAACAGTGAATGTCCTAAGCCCCGAAAAGATCTTAAGGCAAAGCTTATTAGAAAATTGAGAGGAAATCAAATTAATAAGCTGTTAAGGAACCATCTGCGGGCTAAGTCTGGGTAGTGTCTGTAACAAGACTGTCCCTTATCTAGCCAAGCCGTTTAAGCCAAAGAATCAAACTTGACATGGAGAGCTCAGGCGTTTAGCTCCCTTGCTAACAGCCTTTGTCTTGGCCTCCCTCCATCAGCATTGCCTTGTCATGGGCTCTAACCTGTTTGCCTTTCTTTCACAGATCCGAGCAAAGCCATTCCTGCCAGCACAGTGCCGGCCAATCAGCCGCTCTTCCCCCAGGGAAACACTTTCACTCCTGCGCGGCCCACCGAAAGTTTCAGGTGAAGCTGGCGCGCTGGACTGGGGTCGGGTTGCTGTGAATTGTATCTTTCTCTTTCTGCTCTGTCTGTCCAGGCTTAGTTTTCTGGAGGGGCAACAGAAGAAACGAAGGGTGACAGTGCTTTGTGGTGTCTGGCCGCTGCTGAAAGATAATTGGACTGTAATAACCATCCAGAATGAACAGACTGTTGCCCTAAAGGGGACTCCCAATGCACCAGAATTGACTGTTTGTTGCAAGTGCTGGATCATATCACAATGGAATATGCCTGCAGTTCTTAAAATGCAAGTTTAAACCAAACCCCTAAGAAACATGTGCCAGGGTGTCCCTAGTACTCAGACACGATTGTCTTTTCGTTCATTGAAGCCATTTGGTTTTGCATCTTTGCTTATATTAATTGCCTGCCAGACAGTAGCTAGACGCTGGTGGAAATATTACTACAAAGGGACAGACAGCATCGGCAGACGTGCATGCTCCGTCACATCATCTCCAAGTTGGGCTGGCGTCCCAGCCAGCACGCGCTCTTGTTTTGTAATTGAGGTATAGAAGTTGTGTGGGCATTGTAGATTACCTCCAGATGCATTGTACCTGTCTGCCTATGCTGGTAATGCCTCCTAAGGCACATCTAGTGGCAATTGTTAAATCTGAGCTAACTCTTTAAAGCATGTTCTCTTCTATTCTAGGAGCAGTAGCATGGTACCCCCTGTCAACATCATCCAGCAGCAGCCTGCTTCAGCAGGCCAGATTTTAGCACAGATTTCTCGCCACTCCAATACCACTCCAGTCACTGCAACCAACTGGGTGTCAGCGACGCGACCGTCGTTCACGGCACAGGTAACATTTCTCCGAATGCCCAGGGAGCCTTTTCCCAAGGGATACAGGTTTGCAAATAAACACACACCTTACTGTCACAAGAATTGCTCTTTCGTTAGCATGTAATATTAAAGTGCTCTGATGGGGTTGACTTCTGAATAGCAAAGTGATGGAGAAATTTCCCTGGCACATGGAGTAGGTTGCGTTGGATGCATTCAACAACTCCAGTTTGACAGCGATCGCCATCCCTTAATAGCTGAAATCCCAGCAACTGCTTGTGTGAATTGGTCCAGATCATTTCTCCACCTCCACCCTGAAAACAATTGCTCGATCATTGTGTCGAACTGGGGCCCCTCTGGCACAATCAGCAATAAGAGTGTCTGGGCAGGAGACAGAATGTCCGCAGGGCCGGTCCCAGACGAGAATGAACTCCCCCAGGAACGAAGGCCCATCCTAAAGCTCCCCTCCTTCCACTCCAAGGGCAAGGTGCATTTCTCTGACCTGGCCTTTCCTGTTAGATAAATGCATAGCAACAGGTATATTTATAAAAACCAAAAGAAATCCCCTACTAAACCAAGGCACTTCACTGTACATCCTTCTCCATCTGGGGAGAGAACAGATATGTGACAGATGTGTTGCTTGATGCACGACTGGAAGGCGCTCAGGTATAGAGAGAGTTCCTCCAGATGCCGGGCTGGGGCAGATTGGCAGGGAGAAGCTTGCAATGCACGTGCTGTACCTTCTTTGTAGCTAGGGAACGTCACTCACCAGAGCTGGGTCAGTCCAGCACCCTGCCCTGTTTTCAGATTTAGAGCAGAGTAAATACAGCGTTTACTTCTCTCTCGTTGCCGTTCTAGCAAGTGCCTTCCCAGACCGCAAAGACTCGGTCCCCTTCATTTGGAATGGGGAGTTTCCAAGGCACCCCTTCCTCCTTCAGCCCCATGTCAACACCTGGTTCCACAGCCTCCCCGGGCAGGGCTGCTTATCCAGCCCTCGCCAGCCGCGGCACAGGCTTTGGTAAGTGTCATTCATGTCGCACAAGGAATATACGTAGGATCTTGCTGTGGGGGTGGGGCCAGGATAAAAATCTCCTTTAAAAAGAGGCTTGTTTGGATTTGTGCTTCAAGATAGGGTTAGGGCCAAATTTGGGGCAGATGCAGATGCATCACCCCACGTCCTTTGTCTGTTTTTTGTAAAAATGTCATGGATGCTCTACTAGTGTCACTTCTAAACCTGAATTCCTGCCTCTCCTCTCCCCCAGCTGTCCTTGTTGAGCAGGGGCTGACGCAAACCGAAGAGACTCCAAACCGCTGCAGCATGGGCGGGGGGGAGGAGGGGGGAGAAGGGACTCCTAAAAATTCACAGGTTGATTAGAGTTGGAAGGAGCCACTCGAATCCCATTGTCCTGACCTTGCCAGAAATTCAGTCCAGAGCTGGTTGGACAATATCAGGGATGGATCCTTCATATTGCAGGATCAGATTTCCTTTGCTGTTAAGTGGCTGGGCCCTGGAAGCCCCCTCCGCGTTATTGCCCTACTAAGTTGTCTGCCTGAAGCAATACCGTTGACCAGCCAGTGCTTGTGTTTACTGACCCTTAAAGGCTCTTAGGCAAAGACTCTTCTGTGGACACAACTCGCTGACCTTGTTACTCTGTTGAACAGCCACTGAAACCGCGCAGACCCCAGCCCAGTTCCAGACACGGACAGCGGAAGGAGTTGGCATGTGGCCTCAGTGGCCAGGACAACACCACGGGCGAAGCTCTGGGGAGCAGCACGTCCAGCAGCAGCCAAGCCAGCCTGAGGTCTTCCCAGTAAGATGGCGTTTTCATAACCTGTTGAGGGAGGGCTGTAAATCCTGGGGGACCGTATGGGCTTGGTTTACAAAAGCGCAGGAAGTTGGCTAGAGTGCAAGCTCCTTGGCCAGCGTGATGTGAAAGCCGTAATAATCCCAAGTGGGGCTGGATCACTGGGGAGGAACTGGTCAAGGGATCTGGAGCTGTTCACTTCTATTAGGTAGCTGGTTTGGAACTGGCTGAGTTTGGGATCCCAGTGGGGCCTGACTTGTTCCAGTGGACAGGAGTCCACTTCACCCAGCACCGTCAGAATCGGCTTGAATCCTCACTCATCAGTCTCGGAGGTACAAAAGTGGCCGCAGACTGACCTCCCCTCTGAGGCGTTTTGTCCATAACTGAGCTAAGGCCTCCTGGCGGGGCGCTGTGCAGAGCTCATGTTGCTGCCTGAACTGGGCCTGTTCTGTGGAGAGAGGGAACAGTTGGGTTTTCAAAACAAAGTACAGCCCCATAATGACTGTTCACAGGATTCCTCTGCATTGTGCACTCCACAGGGTCCGGTTGTCAGTTTCAGCCCCCGGTTTGCCCAGGGGCGTGTAGCTACAGTTAGTCACTGATGGTATGAGAAATATAGCTTGTATCTAGACTATGAAAGGCAGTTGGAATGTGTCTGCAGGACTCTTTAGACTGTAAGCTCTTTGAGGAAGGGAGTATCTGTTCTGTTTTTGTACAACGCCTAGCACAGTGGGGCCTTAGTCCATGACGGGGGCTCCAACTCCTACATGCGACTACAGGACAGATACAAAACTTATTTTGTTCTTCCAGGACATGCTGTCAATGCTGGGAGACCAGGGAACCAACTACAGCAATGAAGAATTCCCAGACTTAAATATGTTCCCTGCCTTTTCAGAATAAAATAAAAAAACCGAAACCCCCCTTACAAATTTTATATAAATATCTATGTGTAAAGGAAAAAGCACCTAAGTCTTTTTTCTCAGACCCCTGAACTTTCTAAACACTTCCTACTTCCTGGAGGTGGAAACTTCCAACCAAGAATCCAGAATGGACAGCTCCTCCCGAAGGAGGAGGCAAGGTCTCTGCAATGCTGCCAGCCCTGCGTGGATGACGCGTGGGATTGTTCATCAGGCGGCGTCAGGACTCATGAAGCATTGGAGAGTGCAGGAGGGAAACTCCCACAGACTGCGGGACGCACGCAAGAGGCTTACTCTGTGCACTGGGTTGGGAGGAGAGACTCCTGGCTCCTTCAGCAAGCACCTCCCAAAGTTCATGAGGTGCTTTTTAAAAATGTCAGTCTTCTATACCGTGACTTTTTAAAGACTTATTGTATCGGCTTAAATGTTGGAACCTTTTCCCAAATGTTACCCTAGGATCGAGTTATAAAGGGTTAACACATGCTGGGGATTACAAATCCTTCTTGGCTTACCCAGCTGTTCTGCAGATCACCTCAGCAAGGAAGCTTTTGTGTCATCTCTCTGGAGAGGAAAGAGTGGAGTTATTACGGGCTCCCCGGCTTGTGATCGGGGTGTGTTTGAGAAGCTTCCCTGTTCACGGGAGCTTAGCTTTGGAAGAACGTGTTTGTTTGAAATCCCATCTCTCTTCCATAAACAGTGCAATTAATATGGGTATTTTAGTTAGCGTGACCTATAAACTTGGGGATTTTTCATTCACTTAAAGATGGGAAAATAATGAGCCATAAAGTGTTAAATAATCATATGTAGCTTTGCTTTCTAAATGCACCAGTCCACAACTGATGGCTTCAGTGCTGCCATAAACCAGTGTTAAACGGGTTTTCAGTGAGTGTATCTATTGAGACTAACATGGCACTTTTAGTGCAACTTTACCATTTTTATCTCCTTTCCCACCATCTCCATTTCTGAGTTGTAGGCCCAGCTCCTGTTGGAAACAGACTCTTCTGCCTCTCTCGCTTCTGGGTAAGGGATCTGGGTTTTCCAAGAGTTGTGCTCTTCACTCAGCTATCAGAGTGGCAATCTCCAGTCTGACGTTCACTGATCCCTTAAAGAACTTCTTACTGCCAGGTGCTGATCTATTGCCAAAATACAAAATGGAGGCGAGCGAGGCAGGTATTTAACTTAAAGATTCAAGCCTTGTGTTCAAATTTTCTGGCACCTTCCCTGGAAAAACTTGTGGCAAACTTCACGCTCCCTCCTGGCCCTGTTTTTTAAAAAGCGATGGTGAAACCAGTACCCATGGCAAGAGTTTGCTGCTTGCATTCAGTAAGTAGATCTGTCTGCTGTTGGGTTCAACACTTGGAAACTAACTCTCTAACGCTGTGGTGGAAAAACCAGAATCTTTCCTGAAAAGGGAAATCTGGTTTTCTTCAGGATTAAATCTGTTGGAAGTTGGTCTTGTTCCTTTAAAGCATGCACACTGCTCCACGTTAAGTGAGATTAGGGATGCTGACCTCCTGGAATGCCCTGGGGTGACCATCCTTCAGCCAGTAAGGTCAGAGCTAGACAAATAATGGAATTTCCACTGGTTGGCAATTTTGCAAAAGTAAAGAAGAAATTTGGCTGGGTCAAATTTTACCATTTCATTTCGATTTGTGAGCATTTTCAAGCTTCTGAATTTTTTTTTTAAAAAAAAGGAAATTTTGAAACTAAGTTCTTTCGAACTAATATTTCAACCTTTTAAATAAAATGAAATAAGACATTGAATTTTTTTTATAAACAAAACAGAGAACTGAATGCAAATTCAAAGTGTTTCATTGGTGAAGAATCTGCATTTTTTATAGTTTTGTGCAAATAATTTTGCCTAGCTCTAATGGCAAGATTGTCAAAAGGAAGGGTGTGGTCTTTGTCGGACTAGTAGATCTTGGGGCAGGTGAGGGTGGAGCAGTGTTGAGGGGGAACCTTTGCCAGCTCACATATACCCTCCAAAGAGCAGATTTCCTAGACTTGTAGGGCAGGTAACCTCTATCTGTGGAAGTATTGGAGCAAAACACATTTGTGTGAATAACTGTTGTAAAGTGCGATGAGACGTTTCAATATTTTCTGTACCCTGCCAGAGATGATATTGACACTAGGATTAGAAGAACCAAACCTATACTGTATTCTCATGCTTTCGTTGTTAAAACAGTGTTCAGACACTAGTGACCTTGGTCAAATCTTCAAAAACTCTGAAGTCCCGTTTCAAAAGTGATTCAAACAATCGCTTTTAAAAATGGGACTTAAGCTTCTAAGTCACTTATGAGCTTTTGAAAATTTTACCCATATACTTAATCTGCTCTCTGCTGGGTGGATTATAAGGGTGTTGAGCTGAGCTAACAGCAATAACTGCATTTGGCTCTTCTCTTCAGCTCTGGCAGTTCATCATGTTCCAAATAACTTTATCACTAGCTCTTTGGCTGTGGAGCCATGGGGTTTTCTCAGGCTTAGAGCAAATCTGTTTCGTAAAGTTGTAATGTGTTAACTCTCCCAGGTATTTCTACTCAGTATGGCAGTGTCTGCTTGTGAGTTAAATTTGCAGGGCTTGTGAGTTAACTTGTATCAACAGGATGGCAGAAGCATGCGTGTGAAAATGACTAGAGCTGTGTCTGTGACATCTCCCGAATGGTAAAGCTGTAGTCACTTTACCAGTCTCATAAAGGTGAAGGCAGCTCTAGCCTTGAAAATCAGAATGAACCTGTTGACAAATGCTCTGAAACTATATGGCCATAAGGAAAAAACCTGTTTCTACAGAAATCATGTACTGTATGCACACTATTGTAACACGATATTGAAGAGAAAGTCAACCTTTTTTCATTCTACCGCTAGAATCTTTCCTGGGGCTTGCGGTGGGTGGGAGACCACTTAATAAGGGCAGTTGCTTGGCTTTGTTTTTGCATTGTTTTCTGCAGTCAGTTCTCTCCAGTGGTGGTCTGAATTTCCCATCTCTCGGGCAGAGAGCAGGGCACATGCATGGCCAGACGAGCTCCTGCTAGCTGGGTAACGACCTTCTCCACCATCACATTCATAACTCCTGGGTGACCAGGTTTGTTAGTTTCTTAGCTGGGCTGCTACCAGCAAGGGGGAGAACTTGGCTCTTAAGCCAAGATGATGGCCCTTGCCAAGGGAAACTTGCCACCATGATGGCTTGAGCCCCCTCAGCCCTGACCTGGGGGGACCATTTTCCCCAGGAGGTAGCGTTGCCCCCACTCTTGTTGCTCAGTCATGGGCCCTTTTGTTGTGTGTTGTCCGCAGGGGACAAAAGGACACACGTCACTGACTCAGCGCTGTTGTGTGGGACGAGAGTCCCAGAACCTACACCGGGCTCCTAGCTCACTGCACCTTAATGCAGTGGGATTCAGACAGCGCCCTCGCCATCCACTAGACTGGAGGTTCCCAAACTTTTCTTATTGCCTACCCTCTTCAGATCTACCAGCTGCCCGTAAACCCCTACCCTTCTCGGCACTGATACTTTGTTCTTAACACTATCTGTCTTGAGCCACCTGTCCATATTGCACTGTTACAGATATAGTCATAGTGCGACATATACAACCGAAAAAAAAACATCCTAAGTTCCGAGCTCAGTTAGATTGGACAGTTGCTAAGCAACTGAACCCACACTGTATTGTGATTGGAGGTGAGGGCTCTGTACGTCAGCATCTCTGTGTTCTCATTGGTACATCTTGAAGTTAAATTAACTGCCGTATTTTATATAACAAATTCCCACAGAGTTTTAAAGCTTCATCTGAGTCGCCTGGTATGAAAATGCAATAAATAAAATCCACAATTTCTCCCACGTACCCCCAGAGATGTCTCGCGTACTTCCAGGGGTACGTGTAACACACTTGGGGAACCCCTGGTGGTGGTGGGCTTAGTTTGGTGATCCAATACTGCAGTGTTGGGGTCCATATTAGTACTTTATAGTTTGTAGGGAGGATTCAGCAGCTCTGGAGGGGTGGGCAGCCAGCCGTAACTGGTGGGAAGCTCCTCTCCTCTTAGAGCTCAGACTTCCTGGGGTTTGACCTTGCATTCCTTGGAATTAAATCAGTGCAGGGATGAGGCTTTAAGAGCCTGATCCTGTGAAATCTGACATCCCATGGGAGTGGCTGGTTGTGCTACCCCTCCTGTGGAATGACACCCGGACCCTACACATGTCGTATACCCCATGTGCCTGCAGATTACACCGCGACCTAACTGAAGTGTCACCTGGCAGCCCCGCTTAGAAACCCAAAAATAGCTCTGTTTTTGCCATGCAGGTGAAAAGGGCTTGCGTGAAATTATCGTTGGTTCTTTTCCTTCCCTGCTCTGGATGCAAAGGAAGCGCAGTCTTATTAAAACAAAAAATCCGGTAGGCTAACTGAAAAAAGGTTGACTTTCATTCGAGTCCTGTTTTTGATAATCAAATATTTTTAAATGTGAGTATTTTATTGTACAGTTTGGTTGGGGAGGGGCGGGGGACGGGAGATGCTCAACGTTTGTTCGTTTTTAAATGTTCTGTACGGAAGGCTTTGTGTTGTGACAGAGGTTGCAAATTATATGTAGCAGAGATTTTACAAGAAGATATTTTTTTCCTTTTTAAAAGTGCAGTCTGTCTCTTTTCTGCTGGGTGTCTTTTTACAAGCGTTCCACTGGCCTGACTAAACCCATTTGGCTCGCAGGGCCTCCATTGGGTGTGCTAATGGCCCTGGGTCTAAACCTGCCCTGCAGTCCCTGACGAGTCTCCAACCTGACTACTTTTTCTTCCTTCCCAATCCTGCTCCCTAGCTCTGTTGTGTCGGGAGATCTCCCCCCACGACTAGCAGCATGTTTTTCTTGAAGTGGCCTAACAGAGAGATTTTGAAAGGCTCAAATGGGGCGGTTTCATGCCCAGCTCCTGTTGAAAGTGAACGGGAGGTGGTACCAGATTCCTCCAAGTTGGAATCGTTGGAGAGACCTAAGGGAAAATTTTTGGAAAGTGCCTCAGGCTCCTGAGTGCCTAAGTCAATTTAGAAAAAAGGGACTTCAGGCTCCTAAGTCATTTAGATGCTCTTGAAAAATTCACCCTAAATCCCTACCGCTGTGTTCTTGCTCAGGAGATTCAACTCCCCAATATATTAAAGCCCTCCAGATCCCAGTGGTGACTAGCTGTCTGCTGTCCCGCATTGGTTTGAGGAGCAGAATAGTGCCCCCCCCAACTGTGGCTATATCAATAAGTGCTGCTTTTGTGTGTGCTAGTCTCAGTATGTTTCTAGACATCTCATCGGGCACCTTGGGGGTGTGCCCTGTTCCGGAGATGTTCAGAAATGATCTGACCAGTGTGCTTGGTCTGAGGAGATAAGTAGTAGCGCTGTGTTTCCCGCTGCCCAGAAACTTAATATTCCATAATCTCTGGCTTCAATCAACCATTGACCATCTCCGTTCTTTTTCAAATGTGCATCCCCCCTCGTCTTCTCCCCGCCGTCATCGCTCGAATCAAAGCCAGGCTTTTTATCAATGGCCAGCAAGTTTACGCCAGTCTCCGATCCCTCCTAACCAGCGCTGTCCCTTCCTGCTGGGGCGGATTAAGAAGCAGAGCGGGCCCATTACTCAAGCGTCGGCAGGGCTGTTGCAGGTAACCTGTCGTTGGAGCCATGACCAACACGGAGCTGAACTCTCTCCTGCCATCTTGATCTACCCCACCAGCATCTCCTGATGTCCCTAGTAATGCCGTGGAAGCTAAGAACAACTTCGTGGGTGGAAGAGGAAGTTTTCTGCATAACAGATGGTGTAACCTTGCTCTGCTTGAGCAGCTTGGCCTCGTCCAGTACAATCAAGAAAGATAATTTGGGGTGTTGAAGGGATTCCTTTAATAAAAAAAAAAAAAAAATCTGATTGTGGTTAGTTGCAGGCCAGTACTTCCCTCCTGTGCTCCCGATGGTGCTAATATTATCTCAGTTTCTTGGAGTGGGAGTTGGAAGGTTCCTTTAGGCTGTTCTAGCAGTGTAGTAAGGAAGAAGGGGTCATGCCCAAGGTCTAAGAGCCCTGCCTTCCCAGCCAGCCAAAGAGTGAGGGGGGTGGGAGAAGGTTGTTCTAGGTGTCAAAGCCATGAGCATATGTGGCCCGCCTAGACCTGGGAAGAGGAGTCGAGCGTGGGAAGGAACAGGGAAATTGCTGCTCGGGAGTCAAACCCTCCAACTCTCCTGTGCGCCCATTCCTTGTGTGGATTGGACGGAAGCAGTGGTGTCCTCTGCGACATGCAGGAAAGAAGGGCCCAGGTGCCAGGAGAGACCTGCCTGGGAAAAGTTGCTCAGCCTGCAGCACAGCTCTCGCTCGGGAAGTGAGCGGACATGTTGCTTTCAGAAGCTCACGCAGCCGCGCTGCATTAACATGTTTTACAGAACTTTTCAGGAGCTGCTCCAGTTTTTCGCTGTTCCTAGCAACTGAAATTATGGTGACTGGACAGCGCGGGGGTTTGCTGCTGAGCATGAAACGGGAGCCTTTCACCACCTCCAGGCAAGCTGGATCCGACACCTGTTTAGCCTCCATCTGCGGCTCTTGGCCCATGCTCTGGTGGCCAGCTGTCCATCCCAAATGGTGCCTCTTCTCCACATCTTACTCAGAGAAGCCATGGAGACTGACTCCATGCTGACCTGTGGAGGGTGCAGGGGGCCCTTCCGGTGCATGCCTTGGGAGAGGGACGCTTGCAGCCACCTTGTACACAATTTCTGGAACCCATCTCGTCCTGAAACTCGCTGCACTGCTCTGAGCATCTTCCTGAAACGCCCCTTCAACAGAAATCTACTCTGAGGAGGAGCTTCTGAATGCTCCGAATTGGGGTAAGCACAGGGCACCCTGAGGAAATGGCCCTAGAAACTTGTTTCAGAGGGGTAGCAGTGTTAGTCTGTATCAGCAAAAAGAACAGGAGTCCTTGTGGCCCCTTAGAGACTAACATTTATTTGGGCATAAGCTTTCCTGGGTGAAAACCCACTTCATCAGATGCATGCAGTGGAAAATACAGTAGGAAGATGTATATCTACAGAGAACATGAAACAATGGGTGTTGCCATACCAACTCTAATGAGGCTAATCAATTAAGGTGGGCTATTATCAGCAGGAGTGGTTGTGTTCAGCCCCCAGCCTTGGCCACAGCTCCCTTGCAGGACCTGAGGCAGATCACTTAATCTGTTCTGTACCTTCATTCCCTGGCTGTAAAAGGGGTTTAGTATTCCTCTACCTTCCAGAGCTGGTTGTGAGGGTAAAAATCGATGAATGTTTGATGCTCAGGGACTGCGCTGCCAAGGGCTATAGAATTATCTGAGCCCCACTGCGCTAGGCCCTGTACAGACATGGAGTAAGAGATGGTTCCTACCCCAGGGTCTACAATAGACAAAGGAAGGGTCGGTCTCCCCCTTGCACAGGTGGGGAACTGAAGCCCAGAGACCCGCTCAAGGTCGCACCATGAAGCTGTAGCAGAGCCGGGAGTAGAACCCCACTGCAGAGCGTTAATCACAAGCCCGACCTTCCCAGACCACCCGGCACAATCCACGTTTCCCCATCTCTGGTAAAGGGCTCGGGGATTGAGGGCTGCAAAGTACCATTTCTGGCCAATGCTTGTGCCTGTGTTTATAAAAGAAAGGGGGGTTGGGGGCCAGCCCATCCTTCCCTTCTTGCTCTCGCAAGCAGCAGGCCTGATCGATGCAGCAAAGCAGATGCATCTGGCCAGGCCATTAATCCCGTCCAGCGCGGCTGTAGGCGGAGTGCCCTGAAGAAAGATGCCTTTCATAAGAGGAGAGAGGGATTGCCAAGCTGGAAAGCATGTGTTTGGCGAGCTAATGATTCCCCAGCTCCTTTCATCTCTTGTTCTTAGCGGTGTTTGAAGTGGTTTGAAAGCCAGAGTCAGAAATAAAAGGGGAGCCGGAAAGATCTGGAGCCAGGCTTATTCGTTCCCTTTGAAGTCGTCGTCTCTGATGCGAGGTGGCAGCTTCGTTCTGCTGCAGCCTAGAGAAGACACCACCATCACGTGTCTCCTGCATCCTGTAGCTTCCTTCCCCCTTAACTGCCCTGCTCTGCTGTCTCCAAGGTTTAAATCCTGCTCAATTCTTGAGCGGTGCTGTGGCCCAGTGGGTGCAGTGCTAGGCTGGCACTCAGGAAACCTGGCTTCTAGTTCTCTGAGCTGCTGGCTGACCTTGGGAAAGTCACTTCCCCTCTGTGCCTCAGTTTCCCCTCCCAGATTGTAAACTGTGGGGCAGGGAGAGTTTCTCACTGTTTTGGCCAGAGCCTACGGCAATGGGGCGCTGATACCCTACTGTAATACCAAATGATCACTGTCCTCTTTCATCTGGGTCAGCTGTTGTGTATCCACCAACCAATCAAAACAATTCCCAGGCCCTGATGTCCCTGCCAGATGTTACCAATTGTAGGTGGCACCTCTCCCAGCCACCAACGCAGCCAACATCTGGCTCGTGATCTTCGTAACCCTTTTTAAAGGGCCTGTTGCCTGAGGATCCAGCTGCTGCGATGGGTGGAAGAAATGGACCAAGCGATTGCAGCAGTTTGAGTTAAGTAACAAGCTATTACAATTGACTCTTTAAGGAGCTGCATGAGCCAACCCCCCCCCGGGGATACGAAGTGACCAACTTTCCCATGGACGATGGGAGAAGGCGAAATGTGAAATTCTTGATGAAGAATGGTGAACTCTTTCCCGCTGCAGATCTTGGATGGCTTGGTAAAGGCGCATGCCTCTCAGGCTATTTGCAGATGGGGAAACTGAGTCACCCAGGGGCCAAGACTTGGCTAGTCACCCAGTGAGGCAGCAGCGCCTGTGATGCAATGCAGGCCTCCCACTCAACCATATTCCCTCTCCAGTTTGGGAATAGAATCCAGGAGTCCTGACTTGATACCTGTAGCCACTAGGCCATGCTTCCTTTTCAGGGGTGCAGGAATTGACTAAACCAACAGACCTCAAAGGGCTGAAGCTCCCCCTCGTGCCACCCAGCTTCAGAAACCAAATCTACCAACTCTCAGCTCTTTCCAACTGTGGCCACTGATCAAAGCGAAGTCCTCCATTCTGCTCCGCTCTCTAGAGGGTGATGCTCCTAGTACCCTGGCTCATTCACCGCATGGCCATTGTTCTGCTGCGGTGTCGGCGTGAGCAGGCGGGCAGCTGTCCAAGCGATCTCATACAAAACCACCTACTTCAGGGTTTAAGCCGATTTCTAGCTAGCAGAGACCTAATGCCGGGAGCAGATTATCCCCCATCTGTCCACGGTGG